CGATCAGGGGGTCATCGGAGACGTCCTGGAGAACCCTATGACAGCACAAGAGCGCTCCAAGAAGCCGTCATACCCCGAAAGATCGCTCCAAAACGTACCAACAGGCCTCCTGGAGCACCCCCAAGAGGGCCCCAAGAGGGAAAAATCATTGATTTAATGAAGGTTTTTGGTGAATTTGGGGTTCTCCTCTTTTCGGCTTCCCGACGCTCCAAGACAGCGGTCTTCTGGGCGTCCGAAGTCGCCTGGGAGGCACCAAAATCGCCCCACAGCCATCTGAAAGGGCTTCCAGGCAGTCCAAGAGAGCCCCCAAACGGCGCACCAGGGGTCCAAAATGGCCCTAAGAGAGCCCCATGGCGGCCCAAGATGGCCCCAAGACACCCTCCGAAGCATTCCAAATCGTGACCGAGGCGTTCAGGGAGACCGCGGTTAGAAGCAGGTTGTCCTTAGGAAGCCCCAGAGGCCCCCAGAACACGCCCAGGAGGCCTCCAGAAGGCTTTGAGGAAGCTTGAGAACTTTGGTGAGGCTCCCAGAGGCTCTCCAAGGAGGAGCCTCCGCAAAAAGAGCTGAGGAGGATGGGGAGAATGCCCAGGGTATGGCGAGAATGAGGAAATTGAAGCATGGATGAAGGATAACGAACAGCATTATTATAACGGCGATGCCAGAAAAGGCAGCAAGGAGTCATCGTTAAAGTGTCCGCTTGACCTTCCTGCCTTTTCCGCCTGCGCCGCCTGCGTAGCAATCTTCAAGGACCAAGGTGCATGGCGCGAAGCGTCACTGCAGTCTGGTATATATATATATATAGATATTTGTACACATGTGTATGTGTTTACACACATATATATATATATATATATATATGTAAACACACATATCTATGCACACATGTGTACGTGTTTACACAAATGTGCATATAAGTATACAGGTGTAGGTGTTTACATACATATATATATGCACATATACATATATATATATATATGTATATATATATATACATATACATATATATGTACACATCTATTATATATATATCTACACATGCACATACACATATATACATACATGTATGCATGGGCCACCTATTCTGGACCAGTTCTGGGACGAGCGCCGCAGACGCTCCCCTGGAGGCTCCACGTGTGGACTGGTGGAGCCGGCGGGCGCCGCCCCGAGGCCCCCCGAGCTGGGGTGCGGCGCTCCCGAGAGGGGGTGCTCCCGTGTGTGCAACGCACAAAGGGTCAGGAGGGGAAACAAACACACAGACACGGTGAATCCTCGATTCCCCAGAAAGTATGGGAAAATGTGGGAAGTGGGGGGGGGGAAAACAAAAAGCCCCGAAACTATGGGAAGCTGTGGGGAATCCTTTTATTTGTGTGTGTGTATTACTTGTGTGTCCCAGGGCTCCTTTTAAGGGGGGGTGGGGGGCAGGCGCAGCCCGCCTCCTTCCGCGCCGCGAGGAGGCGGGCGAGCGAACCCTCGCCCGCTGCCCAGCGACTGTCAGTGCCGGCGGTCGCTCTGGAGAGAGAGAGGGAGAGAGAGCGAGAGCGAGAGCGAGAGCGAGAGAGAGAGAGAGGACAGAGCGAGAGAGAGAGAGAGAGCTTGCGAGAAGTGCGCGCGCGCATCCCGCCCCGCAGTGGGGCCACGGGGGGTGGGGTGCTCCTGTGCGCGCTTCTCGATGCCCGTGGCCCAGCTCCTCCCCCGCCCAGCCTTGGCTGCGGCCGAGAGTGGGCTCCTTGTTCGAGCGCGACCCCGCACGCAGCCCTCTTTGAAATTGAGCGTGTGCTGGCGTCGCATCCACGGGGAATCGCTCCGCGATAAGGTGCATCACATCGTCGCCCCGCGATTCGAATGTCGAGCGACGGCCCGCTGGCCGTGCGTCGAGCGCGCGTTGCGCCTTGCGCGGTGGCGCAGTAGCGCAACTTCGACGACGGAGCTGTTCGCGCTGGGGTCGGCGCGCGGCGCCGTGCAGACGAGTGGATGTTCGCGCGGCGGTCCGCGCGTAGCGCCGTGCGACGTGCGAGTGCGCGCGTGCGCGCCTGCGGTTGTCTTGCAGCGGCGTCGCACGTGCAAGCGATCGCCCCGCAACCGCCGCGCGGGTGGGTGGGTGGGGGGGGTGGCTGCGTGGGAAGACGCCGGCTGCAGCCGCATTATTCGCGCTGGGGTCGGCGCGCGGTGCCGAGCAGCTTCCGTGCTCTCCTGGTCAGCGCTCGCACGGGCACGGGGCGACTCGCGCGTCGCGTGGTCGGCTGACTCTCGGAACGCAGTGCATTGCGTTGCGGTCGGCGCGCGGCGCCAATCCCACGTCTCGCGCTGAGGTCCGCGCGTGAAAAGACGTCGGCTGCAGTTGCCGCGCGCGGGCCGCGCGGGGTGGGGTGGGTGCGGGGTGGGGTGGGGTTTTGGTGGGTGGGTGGGCTGGGTGGGGGCTGCTTGAGAAGACCTCAGCAGAGAGCGCCGCGTGCGAGCGGCGCGCGGGAGCGTCCTTGGGGCGCGCCAGAGCGCGCCGCGCGCGAGCGGCGGGCGCGCGCGGAACCGCCTCTGGGGCGCGCCAGCATATATGCGCGGCACGCGAGCGGGCGCGCGCGAGAGAGCCCGCGGGGCGCGGCGGAGTGCGCCGCGTGCTAGCGGGCGCGCGTAAGAGCGCCCTCGGGGCGCGCCAGTGATGGCCGCGCGCGAGCGGGGGCGCGCAAGAACGCCGTCGGGGCGAGCCGGAGTGCATCGCGCGCGGGCGGGCGCGCGGGGAAAAGTACCCTCGGGGCGCGCCCGGTTGCGCCGTGGGGCGGGCGGAGGCGCGCGGAAGCGCCCTCGCGCCAGACAGCGCCGCGAGCGATCGGGCGAGGGGGCCCGCGGAACGCGCCGGAGCGCTGCGCGTGCGGGCGATCGCGTTCGGGGGCGCCCTCTAGGCGTGCCAGAATGCGCCGCGTGTGGGCGGGGGTGTGCGGGGAAGTGGCCTCGGGGTGCGCCGGGGTGTGCCGCGTGCGAGCGGGCTGCGCGTGGAAGTGCCTTCGTGGCGCGCCAGAAGTGCGCCGCGTGCGAGCGGGCTCGCGCGAGAGAGTTCGCGGGGCGCGCCAGAATGCGCCGCGAGCGAGCGGGCACGCGCATGGGTGCCCTCGTGGCGCGCCAGAGTGCGCCGCGTGCGAGCGGGCGCGCGCGAAAACGCTTTCGGGGCGGTCCAGGAAGCGCCGCGTGCGCGCGGGCGCGCACGAGAGCGCCCTCATGGCCGCCAGAGTGCGCCGCGCGAGCGGGCACGCGTGAGAGCGTCTTCGGGGCGCGCCAGACAGCGCCGCGTACGAGCGGGCTCGCGCGGAAACACTTTCGGGGTGCGCAAGAGTGTGCCGCGGACGGCCCTTTCCTCCCCGCTCCCGGCCTCCCTGGTTCCCTCTTCCTCGCGAGCCCGCGCGCGCGCGTTTCGCCCGCGCCCGTGCCGTCGTGCGCGCCTGGCCCTCGTACCCCCGCGCCCTGGCCGGCTCGCGCGTTCGCTTCCGTGGCCCCCCGCCGCCTTTTTCCCCGCCGCTGGGCCCGACGACGCCGTCGTCTCGGAGGCTGCCGTCGGGAGGTGGAGCCGTCAGGGGGTATGAGGTGGCCCAGCACAGGTTTTGGCGGTTCGAGGTTTTGGGTTGGGGGGGGGTTCTGCTTTTTTGGCCTTTGGGGGGCCGTTTTCGGGCCCCAGGATAGTGAAAACTGGATTTGGGGTAAAACGGTGTACCAGATGGACCATTGGGAGCGGTCCAGGAACCGATTTTAAACGGATTTGGTTTCACCCCCCCGTCTTGGCCGTATTGCTGGGGTCCCAACCAGTATAGACCGGCCGGCCGCCTCCAAATCGGGAGCGTTCAAGACGGGGGTGATGACGTGTGTGTGTATATATGTAATATATATATATATGTATATATATATATATATATATATATATTATAATATATATATATAATATATATATATATATATATATATATATATGGGCGCGCGTGTGTGTGTATGTGTGTGTGTGTGAATGTGTGAGAGTGTTTGTTTGGATATGATGGCGGGGGCCATGATGTTTGCCCAGATCTCATGGCCCCTCTTCTTCTTTCGATCTGCGTCCGTTGGTCCCCCCTCGTCCGCGCAGCAGTGATTCGCGACCCTCCCTCTTGGACGCCTCCCTCATGGGCGCCCCCGATGCTGGTTCGGAGTGCACTCGTGTGCGCTGGCGTCTGGCCATCGATGAGAAAACGCCGATCTAGCGTCGATTTAGCGTCGATTCGTGTCGGTTCGCAAGAGCCAGCAGCATGGCATGGGAGGCTCCTGTGAGTTGTCACCGAATCTTCGGCCAAGGCCGCCCCCAAAGGGTGCGTGTCCGCGAGGAGCGGCCCCGCCGGGACGGCCTCCGGTCGCGGCGCGGCCTCGTGCCGAGCCTCGTCCGCCACGTGCCGCCCCCCTCCGGGGAGCGGGGCGCCCACATGGTCTGTTGCAGGCAGGTGTGCGGCAACGGTGGAAACGAGTGCGGCGAGGAGGGGTGTGAAGACCGCCTGCATTTCCTGCCCACTCTGAGCAGGACTCGCTGTCGGCGTCGCCGCGGGCGGTGTCCCATCCGAGACAGAACGGCCGCCTGCCCAACGGCGGCCGCTGTCAGTTTGGGACAACATCTGCTGTTTGCCCTCGTACCCATTTTTTCCGTACCCACTTCGGGCGTTCAACTTTGGGATATCCGATTTCCGTAGGTCAATTGCTGGGGATCGAAGAGAGTCGCGCTTCGCGCGCCGCGACCAAGGCCACAGCGAATTTGGGATGTCCAATTTCCGTAGGTCAACTGCTGGGGATCGAAGAGAGTCGCGCTTCGCGCGCCGCGACCAAGGCCACAGCGGCTGCCCTTCTCCAAGGTGGCGGCGCGAGGGCGCGAAGAGAAAGGGGCGTCGCGCATCACGGGGCGCGATGCGCGAAGTCCCCCTCAGGAGATGGGTATGAGCTCGAAGCTGCTTATGGCCTAGCTCGCAGCCAGGGCCGCCCGGCGTGGGGGCTGCGCTCCCGAG